TGAGCAGGCGGCGGCGAAGGGAGGCGGGGTCTGCTGCCCTCCTGGTTTGAATGAAGCTGACTCGGGGAACATCCCTTCGCCCCGCTTTCTTTGCTCACCTAGCTGGCTGTGGCCTCCGGGCCGAGCGCGAGGCCTGCGTGCTCACCGAGCAGGAGCTTCCGTTTTCATTTGTTGTCTCTCCAGTTTGGGTGCTGGTGCCGCGCAGTGCCCGTCTTCTAGGGTGGCGACGAGGGCGCCTTGGAGCCCCGCGTTCTTGGCGCGCTTCTCGCTCCTAGAGGTCTCACAAGGTTGTCCGGGCGGAGGAGAGCCCGGCTGCATGTGGGTCAGCGCTAGCGTAAGCTTCTGGGCAAGAGGAATTCACGTCCAGCTGTGCAAGGCACTTTGTCAAACGCTCCCGAGCCGGCCGCCCCCAGCCTCTCTCCAAAGGCATGAAGTCAAGATGCCAGGGCCAAAAATGCCAGCGACTGATGAGATGCACCAAAAGCTAGAAGCGAACCTTAATAGGAACTTTGGGACGGGACACCCTTACACACTAGGCTTTCTAAAGCCCTCCAGTTTCATTGAACCCCACACCGAGCTTTGGGTGTTTTTTTTTTTTTTTTTTTTTTTTTTTTTTTTTTTTTTTGTCTGGTGCCCGAGGCTGACGTGTTGCTAGGTGAGAGAGGAAGTCTCTGGTGCTGTACTTGACTAGTGTTTCCTTGTTCAATCATTTGGTCTGATGACAAGGCATTGCAGTAAAACAAAGCAACTCGAATCAAGAATTACATATTGCCCGCTCCATCTTATGAATTGGAAGACGCTGCAGGGGTCTGCTTCCACGCACCAATTAGCTAGATCTTAGGAAACTCAGGAGTGCTCCTCTTATTTGCAGATGGAGTCTCTCCTCGAGCCCTGTCCCCACCCAGCTCGCCACGGTGGATGAAGACAAGATAAGAACTGGAGTGTTCTTTGTGGTTCTCTTTGGAAAACCTGCCTCGGAGAAGTAGTATCCGAGTATGGATTTACATAATGTCCTAAATGTTCTGCACCCTGTTGATAAATAAGTGCATATGCCGGTATCCAGGATGCAGTGACAACCCTTATTTTTTGCGGTGGACCAAAAGTTTTTAGCTGTTGTGGACTGAATTTTTGGATCCCCCAGATCTAAATTCAGATACTGGATTAGTCCCTCAGTGTGTTCTTATCCCGAAGCTGAGTCTTTGGGACATTATAGTTAGATGAGGTTATGTATGAGACTAGTACTCTCACGAGTAAAATTTGGTGATCTGAGAACTTTGGTCCTTTGCTCCACTGTCCCCCTATGTGAAGTACAACCACCGCCTGATGGTCTGTAACCCACCATACGCTCACCAGAGCTTAACTGTCCATGCCATGGTATCAGGCTCCTTCCAAACAGTGAAGACTAAACTGTTGTGGGTTGTGTTATAGCAGCCTGAGCTGATTAAAGCACTGACTGAGTCTCAAGACATTGGCCTGGTGACAAACGAACTGCTTTTTACAGACTCCATCATACTGTTGTCTATGTACCAGGAGGCTTAGCTAGATGAGGTACTTCCAAGAGCACAGCCATTCCCATTCTACCATCCAGTTTAAGCTATGTACTGTGGTTTACTTAATATTTCTTTAAGCCATTTTGCTTGTTTTTCATAACAGTTAATTTAGGAAGTTTCTATTATTGGAACATGATGGCTCACTCCTTTTAATCCCTGCACTTGGGAGGCAGGGACAGTGGATCTTTATGAGTTTGAGGATAGCCTGGTCTATATAATGAGTTCCAGGCCAGCTAGGACAATATAGTAAGACTGATGGAAACAGTTCTAATATAGAACTAAGAATCCCTAACAAAGACTCTCCTTTGACAAAACTTGAGCCATTCTCTGAATCCTGTTTCTAATTTAGCCTTGACCTTGGACTGTAGGTTAAACTTAGTAACGTTGCTTGTTTGGTCCAGTTTCAGCAAGAAACCTGATGGGTCAGTTTACTGACAGTCTCCTACCTGTGATATCACCCTTCCAGTGGTAGTCTTGTCAAATAAAGTTGACAGTATCCCCTTCCATTCTGATCTTTCCCAACAGTAATTTTTTCTACCTACTGACCCTATTGTCCTCCTCAACTACCTATCTCACCTAGCCCCCTGCTTTAGCAGCCATGACAAGCTGCAGAAAAGACATGTAGGTCTCTGACTCAACACATGTCTGACCTTGCTGGGCCTGTCCTAGTCACTAGGAGGTCAGATACCCTCCTCCTGACAAGGAACCAATCAGAAGTTAGCTGGTGGGACTCTGAATGTGTTTTAGGGCTCTGGGTGTGAATTATGGTAAAGTGGCATAACAGTGGCATGCAAAGCAATTAATGGTCCTGGGAAGGCCTATAGGCCATAACAAGTAGTTGACCCATCAACACAGGACAAGTCACCCGAGCCAGAAAGTGCACCAATCCTGAGAGACTATTGTGTACCCCTGGACACTCCCCTTATGCTGCCCAATAAATCCCCCTGCCTCCCCCCACCCCTACCTCATTGCTTTTGCATCAGAATGCGTCTCTTGATGATTTGGGGGGTTCAGAATTTGGGCACAACACGTTCTAGTCACAGCTGAGCTGGGATAACAGGCATGTACCACCATAACCGTTGTATGTAGTGCTGACTGGAGATTAAATCCAGGGAGTCATGCATGTTAGGGAAACCGTCTATCACTGACTAGTCTCCCCAGCTTGAATGCTATATCTGAATGGTTCCCATCCCGAAGGCCAAAACTTTGAATCTATACAATGCTGAGGATGCTCAGACAATGGGATTGAAGCAGCTCCAGAGGTTGCTTGCTTGAATCATTTACAAGAAGAAACTTAGGCCCAGACATGACATTAACGAGAGAAAGGTTTCTTTTCTGAGTGATTCCTTCAAAGGGTCACTTCCTGGAATTACCATTGAACTGCTTCATTTTCTCTCTTCGAAGTAGCAAAAAAAGGCTTAGAGAAGTGTCAAGCCTAAAACAGTTCCACATTGACTGTCCACTCTTCCCCAAAGCACACTGAACAAAGGCAGCTAACCGAGAATCAGATGCCAGCTCAAAGGGCATGTTTACAACTGGCCTCCTTAGTACGTAAGAGACTGTACATGATACCATAAAGAGGCCTGGAAAGTGTTTGAAACTATATGTTTAAAAGGTAAATTTCTTAACCAATAATAGCCATTTTTAGAAAGCAGAGAAAGTTCAAAGTAATCAAGACTTGAATATAGAACGTTTGAAAGAACACAGGTAAAAGTTGACTGTGAATGTGAGGGCCTTTTAAAAGTTTAAATAATATTTGTTAAGTGGCGCTATCAAATGTAAATGACCAAGTAACAAATGTAGATAAGCACCCAGGCAGCCTGTGTACCAGCAGCTGGAGTTCATAGCTTGGCTCAGTTCCTTCATGGAACGCTAATGTGTAACTTCAAGACATTTAATTCAAGATTTTTAGAGAGAGACTGAAGGTTCACCAATCAGTTCTAAGACAGACTAGTCTGCGTAGTAAGTTCAAGACTATATAGCAGTACCTTATCTCAAAAAAAAAAACAAGATAAAAAGTAATCAAAAAACACTACATTTCACTATTTTTAACATGTCAAGTTTCTGATGTTGTCTAGTTTTATTTGTTGTTGATTCAAATTAGGATAGAATGAACAGTTCTTGGCAATTACTGGGGCA